TTCCTTCCTTTTTCTCTCTCCCGGCCTCAGCAAATCTATCAGGATTCACAATTGGAAAAACAAAATAAAACAAAACCAAGGGACCAAGACGGCCGGCCTCGAAAGCCACTTGGCTGGGAGGCTCCCCCCTCCCGCCGGTTCAGGAAAAGAGGTAAGCGGGGACTGTCGCCGGTCCCTTCGTGAACGGCCTCGGCTAGGAAGTCCGGCGTCTCCCAAGCCTCTGAGCTGAACACCTCGGAGGGAAAAGCCGAGAGGGACCAAAAGGAGCCTGCGGAAAATCGGCCCCGACATCCACATCTTCCGCGCACCCCCCCCCCTCAATGTTTCCTCGTTGTTGCAGCCAGAAGACCTGGGAAGGGCGCTCCTATGGCACTGGCCCTTCGCTTGGAAAGAAGGGGAGCCCGAGCCTCAAACCTGAGCCGCCGAGAGCTTTAGAGGCAAGGCCCAAGCGGAGGTTTTGCTTGACGGGGACTCTCTAGGGCCTTCCGGGGGCCAGAAGAGACTCCCCACCGGCTGCCCTAAGGAAAGTTCCCCCTTCTCAGAAGGCTTTACTATCGTAGCGGCTACGGGTCAGCTGGTCACGCTTCGAGCGAAAGGGCTGCCTGCACCCAACACCTGGCAGCAAGTCAGGGACAGGTGTGAATCTTGGCCAGCGTTCACTTATGGGAGGTTTTTGTTTTTGTTTTTTTTCTGGGAGAAGTTATTGGGTTGTGGGGGGTTATTTTGAGGAGGGGAGCGAGTCCCCAGAAAAAAGAGAGGAGCCCACAGAGAAGCGACAGGAAGCTATTGCAGACACGCAACTGCCTTCCTTCCCACGCGTCCTTGCTTCCAAACGTTTAGGGCGATCGGGAGTCGGAGCTTGCGAGAGGCGGTGGCCCGAAAGTTGGCGAGAATGTGCAATTCGATTCGTTGTTTGTTTGTTTTTTTAAATCAGAGCGGATCGAGTTTGGCGTTTGCCCAGGGGCTCCTCCGTCCCTCCAGAAGGCCGGCCACCCGGTTTTCGGGTCGGGGTAGAAGTCTCGGGCCCGGGGCAGGAAAACGAGAAGGGGGAGACCGGAGCAAGAGCATGCTGGAAAGGGGCGGGAGGGGAGAGCCAGGCCACTCTTGGGCAGGTGAAACCGAAGCGGCATCCAAGTGTCCCTGCGCCGGCGGCTGAAAGCCTTGGACGGCAGCCACAGTTCATGTTATCCCGCAGCCTCTTGGGCGAATAGCCTGGACCGAAAAAGAGGCCCAACCTTGTCCCGGGCGAGCCCGCCTCGTCTGATGGCTGGCCGCCCCTGAATCCCTCACCCCCAAGGGCCGTCTTAACAGCATTATGGGTCCCAGGCAAAGCAGTGTACTGTGGACCCTAGGACAACTACTCAAAGGAATAAAAAATGTAAATGGTCGATGAAATGAAATACATATTTCTCAGTGTTATCATTGTTAATTTCTATTCATGCCTGTTAGGATGAATTTTTTTAAAAAATTGCAGTAAAATGTAATAAATACGTTGATGTCTTTATAGGATACAAGGCGCATTGAAGGGTTAACATATAGAAATTAGTCCGGGGTCCCTAGGCTCGTGGGGCAACCGGGCAAGTGCCCATCAGGCCCATTCGTTAAGACAGTCCTTGCGCGCCGGGGGAGATGCCCAGGCTTCGGCCTTCCTCAGGCAAATGGCATCCCTGCGGTCCCCACGAAAGTCACGCAAACGAGTGGGCAGCACAGGCAGCGCTGTGGGACTCCTGGCTGGGCCTGGACAGCGCCGTGGCGGGGCCCCTTGCGTTACCCAGAAGGGAACCGGCGCCAAGAAGAGTCCTCGTGGGCTCTGGATGGATCCCCTAAGGCAGTGGTTCCCAAACTTGGCAACTTTAAGACTTGTGGACTGCTGGCTGGAGAATTCTGGGAGTTGAAGTCCACAAGTCTTAAAGTTGCCAAGTTTGGGAACCACTGCCCTAAGGAAATCTGTTCCAGAGACCTCCGAGAATAGGGACTCAAAGAACCGCGGCAGGAGGAGGGAGGAGCAGCCCTTGGCGAAGAGCAGCCGCCTACCTATCAGCACCGTTGGTTGTAGGTCGTACGGTGGTCGTAACACCAAGAGTAGGAGTCCCACGGGAAGCTAACGCGGGTATCCAGGGGCCTCCTGCAGTTCCAAGTACTAGGAGCCGCGGAAGAACCGGCGCTTCATCGCCCGGTGGGGGTGGGGGAGGCCTGGGCAAGCAGCATGTTCCCCCCGAGGTGCCGGGTTCAGAGAGTGAGTGAGTGAGTGAGTGAGTGTGTGTGTGTGTGTGTGTGTATTCCTTCTAAGGGAAGCCGTCCGTCTGTCTGTCTCTTTGCTATCTGTCTCTCCGCTCACTCTCTGTCTCTCTCTCCCTTTCCTTCCTTCAAAGTCGCACCAGGCTTGTAATCAGCAACACAACCTGACATAAATCAAGGCAGGATTGACAAGGGCTGACAAATAACTGATGGATTGCGGTTGGAGAGCATTGACAGCGGATGAAGGAGAGGAACCGAGGGAGAGCGCGCCTCTCCCCTCCCCTGGCCGGGAGGGGAGGGGAGGGGCGGCAGGAGGAGGAGAGAGGGAGGGGGCAGGGCCTCATTCACGTGACACCCCCCCCCGGCCTCGCCCAATCCCCGCGTGGAACCTCCCCACGCCCCTCCAGTTCCGCTTGGAGGGCGCTGGGTTGGCGTCTTGGAAGGAGGCCCAGGACTTTTCCTGCTTTTTTTTCGTTTCGTGCCGGAGGAAATCCGATCCAGGCGCCGTCAGCTTTTCTCCCCCCCCCCCCATATAAACTGAGCCCGGGGCCGTTGCACGGAGAACACGCGCGGCGTCTTTTTTCTTTTTGCCCCCAAAGCCACCGATCTTGTCCCAACCTGGGGCAGGCAGCATCTTGCAGTCCCGGCCCCGACCAAAAAGGCAGGGTGGGCGTTGGGGAGGGGAAAAGTCTGGATCCCGGAAAAGTGAGAGGGGGTCTTTCCCAGGAATGCCAGGCCGGACAGGGAACGAGCCCCGCTGAGGAAGGCAGGAGGCTGGGTGGATGGAGCGGGCAGAGCGGTGGGTGGGTGGGTTGGGTGGGGGTCGTCGGCCGCGGAAAAGCCCTTGAAGAGGGAGCGTGACGTCACATCCCCTTGACCCTCCAATCACCTCGGGCTCCCATTTGATTGGAAGGCGGCAAAGGCTTTAATCTCCCGACTAATTCAGCTCGCTCGGGAAGCCACTTTCGCTGCCAGAGCCGAGGCTGGTGGGGCAGCGGCTGGCTGGCTGGCAGGAGAGAGAGAAAGAGAGCGGCTGGGGCGCGGAGAGGAGGAGAAAGCAAGAAGGACCGAAGGAAAGAAGGAAGGAAGGAAAGGAGGAGAAGACGGGCCGGGCAAAGGGGGGTGAACGGCGGAGGAGACAAGCCCGGGCTCTTCCCCTCCCCCCTCCTTCTCCCCCCCGGGACACAACCCCCCCGCAAAAAAACCCCACGGATTTATTTCTCCTTGGGTCTCCTGCGGTTGCAACCTCGAACTTTCCCTTTTGGCCCGAATTTGAAGGGGGGGAGGCAAAGACTGAAAAAAGAAAAAAAGGAAGACAGACTGAAAAGGGGAGAAGAAGAAAAACCTTCGCAGGAATCTGCTGCCTCGGCTGCTGCTGCTGCTGCTGCTCCCGGTTTTCCAAAGGGGGCGGTAATCTTCCTCCTCCCCCCCCCACCTTCTCGGTCCCCTTAAGTCGCCATTGGAAGCTGCAGACGCCCCGTTTCGGTCCCTGAGCAGCGCGTTCCCGGCGCTCCCGCTGGCTGCCTCTGGCCCCCCACCCCGCGCGTTTTCATGCGAGCCTTTGGGTCATGATTACAGCCCCCGCGCTTTCTGCCATAAGAAGTAGTCCGCGCGGAGGCGGAGGAGGAGGAGGAGGAGGAGGAGGCGCGCCAGAGCTGGGAAACGGCGGCGGCGGTGTGGAGCTCCCTTGGCAGAGCGGGCTCGCTGGGAACCTTATCGGCGGCGGCGGCGGCGGCGGCAAAGCTTTCTTCCACGCCATCCCCCCTTCGGATCCTTTGCGCCAAGCCAACCGTCTGCCCATCAAAGTCTTGAAAATGCTTACGGCACGGACGGGACACATTTTGCATCCCGAGTATCTCCAGCCGTTGCCTTCCACGCCGGTCAGCCCGATCGAGGTAAGGCACGCGGGGAGGACGGGACCCCTCCCCGTTCTTTGGTGTGTGTGGAGGGGGGTTGGGGTGTGCAATCCTTTGTAAGGCGCTTGCTTCGTTTCAACAATCCCCCCCNTGAATCTCACCAAAGATTAACCACATAATAATAATCAGCATCAGCATCATCCTGGCCACCTCAAACAGAGCGTCATTTCAAGTACAATAACATAATTTATTAATCATTAAAATCATTATAATTTAAAAATCATTTTGGATTAAATGAAAGCTCATTGGTCGGCCCCTCCATTCCTAAGGAGGCAGCAGGCCGCCGTATCATGAAGGAAAGTTGGCTTCAACAAGTTGCAGCTTCCAGCCGGAGTAAAAACAAAGTCCCGGTTTGTCTCCCGCAGCGGCCAAGCCCACTCTTCGGTCTGCCCCCCCCCCCCCCCTCCCGACCCGCCAGCTTGAGCCCAAGGAGGCGGGCGTTAGGGCCCGGGGGAGACTTCCTTCCAGGCTCAACCTTAGGGCGGAAGTGTGGTGGCGACGGCGACTGCTGTGTTCAGCTGCGCGCTCGGTTTCGGCCCCCGGGGGGGGGGGGCTTCTTGGAGTCCCGGGGGCACCTCTGGTTAGAAGTTCGAGTGCTTCGGCTTGTCCCCCCCCCCCCAACGCTTGCTTTTCCTGTCTCCCCAAGCACGAATGGCCATTCCCGGCTGGCGTTGGCACAATTATGGAATCGCAGTCCAGAATCGTATGCCAGCCCATGCCAACCCATACCCGGCAGAGGCAAGGGCGGCTGAGACGGCCGAAGGGGGCCTGCTTTGGGGGCCAACAAACCCGGCCAATGGTGCGGGGGAGGAGAGACAGAATGCTTCGGACATTCTCCAGATCGCTCTGTGTGTGTGTATGTGTGTATGTGTGTCTGTCTGTCTGTCTCCCGGAGGGGGGTGTCGGGGGATCGACCACTCCTCGACACCGGCTGGATTCCTCCTTCTCCGCCTCTTTGCAAAGTTCCCCGCTTGGGAATGGGCAGGGCGACGGATCCCGCCCCCGGAGAGGGTGTTAGGATTACACGCAATCCCACGACGTGGCCCCCATTTTGCTGGGGCCTGAGCGGTTTTCAGCCGCGGCCAAAGGGGGAATCGACCTGTCCTCCCTTCCCGCTTCTTTGCTTCTCTCTCTCCCCCCATCACACCCACCCCTCAAAGAAGCGGGAAGGGTCCCCCCCACACACACCTGGAGAGGATTCGCTCCCCCCTTCCCTCTCCCGGCTTCTTGGCTTTCCCAAGAGATCAGCGGTCTGGACGGGCAGAGGAGAAGAATTGGGAGATTTGGCAGAATTTTAGGGTGCTTTTTAGACAAACCACGAATAGTGGCTTGTAAAGGCCAAAGCTGAGACCAAATTGAACACCCTATTCCTTAACCGAGTGGTTGGTCCTAAGTAGACCCCTCTCGGGGGGATGAGGAGGGAGAAGAAGAAAGGGTAAAGCAGAGAAAGTAAGGGTGGGGAATTAAGAGTAGGAGAGAGGGAAAGAAAGAGGAGAAGAAAGGAGGAGAGGGGAAGAAGAAAGGAGGAAGGAGAGGAGGAAAGAAGAAGGTAGAGAAGGGAGGTTGAGAAGATGGAATGAGCAAGGTTGTTGCAAAATAAGATGGAGGCACGGGGTGGCAAGAAAGTGACCCAAACTATTATATGTACTGTATGTGTGTAAAAATGAGCATAGAGACTAATGATGAATAGACAAATTTTAAATAGCAATTATAAGAATGTATATCTATGAATGAATTTGAAAGGGCAAAATAAAAAAAACTTTTAAAAAAGAAGACCCTCCCTCCCCCTGCCCCCGCCCCCTTTTTTTCATCAGCAACCCCGAATCCCGCGGGAATTCCGTTCCCTTAAGAGCCTGAGCGAAAGTAGCCCAAACTTTTCCTCCGTCTGTCTTGAAGTGCCAAGACAGGTAAAGCCCGTCCGCCCCCGCTCCTTTCTCTCTCCCCCTTCTCCTCGCCTGTCCCTACTTTTCAATTTAGAGGATTAAAAGAAAGTCACTCCGCTAACAGCCTTTAGTCCATCGCCAGCCCATATGTCAGCCTTGGCGCTTTAAATAATTATATTTGCATGCAGGGAGTGATTCATAAATATGTCAGGCCGTTGAAATATAGGCAGGCATTTCAAACTTTCTATTTAAAAAACATGAATTATGGCCACGAAAAATGTGTTCCCATTTAAGGGTGATACGGAGTATTTGGTGTCTAGTGCGGAGGCCAATCCATCATAGAGACAATAAAGAGAGTTTTTTGCCTGACGCGGGAAATTTATGGTTGCCCTTCTCTGCCCTAATAATTCAACCATTGTGTCAGCCCGTGACAGCTTGCGCAGAAAAACAGCAAGCCCTGTTATCAATCAAAAAAGGAAGGGCCCTTTTTACATTTTTAGCAAAACTCGGATCATCCAGACACCCTTTTAATGTATATATTACATCATTATAGATCATTCTGTACTTCTTCCCCCCCTTCTTCCTTTCTGCAACTCAACAAAAGATTCATCATTCTCCTGGACAGCCCTGATGAGCGCGGATGTAAATTATTTGGCGTGTCACCGAAATGCAGTCCCGAGTGACAAATCCACTTAGGTGGAATTAATTTTTTTTAGGGCGCCTAGGATTTGGGGTTTGGGGTGGGGGAGAGATTCCCAGAGACCGCGCGTAAGGAAGAATCGTCTGCATAATCTGTATTATTTTTTGCAAAGATCTTCACCTGTTTCCATCCCCATCATATTCTCAATGGCGATGCAGTTTGGGTGCTTGGAAATACCCCCCCCCCCTGCGGCTTCAAAACTTTTCTCCCGCGCGTGCACACCTGGCCTTACTATGCAAACTCAAAAATAAAATTAAAAAACACCGGGGATGGTTTTGGGTTTTTTTTTAGAACAACAGGATTGCCCAACTCGCGTTCACGCAATTGGACTAAAAGAGATTGAATCTCTCCCGATTGTACTTCCAACGCCACGAAGGGAGCCCTGCGCAAGGCAGCTGCGATCCTGCGCAGCTCCCCTTTGGTTCCATGGGGGGGGGTAGCGCAAGATCACTTCCGGTAGGGGTTAAACGACCCCCCCTCTCCTCTCCCCCAATTTTTTTAACCATAATCAAAAGGACTTTCCCTTTCTTTCTTTCATGTCTCAGTTTAGCTTACTTTTCCTTCAAAGCGGCACCACTCGGAGCCGTTCCTACACACCCCCCCCCATTTGCGCCACATTCTCACGGACCCCGATCGACCTCTCCAACTCTAGCCTCAATTTTTACACGGGTTGGAAGTTGTTGGTGCTCTGTTCCTTTTTGGGCTGGGTTTAGTGGTGGTTGTTTTGAGCAATTAATTTCCTTCTGGAATCTTTTCTCCCCCCCCCTCTCCCCAGGTAAAGTTCAAAAGGCTGCGAGAAGTCCCCTTTTCTCTCTTTTCAACCCTATCGACCTCCCTTCCTCCTTTTAAACCCTGTCCCCCCCCCCCTTCCCAGGAGGTGAATTAATTTTGTGGAGTGATGGGGGATCTCCAGACCTCCTGCCTGCAGCATCTCTGGAGCAGGTTGCTCCTCTAGTGGAAGACGCGCGCACGGGCACGCGGGGACGAGAGAGAGAGAGAGAGACCCCCGGGGGTTTCCAGGTTTCCCAAACGGGGGAAGGAAGGGAGGGAGGGAGGGCAGGAATCGCGCGCTCAGCTCCCCCCAATTACGAAGTGGCCCGTTTAGTGACGGGAGAAAAAGTTTCATTTCGCCACCCGAGGTCGCGGGTCTTTTTTCTGATTTCACCGCCTCTCCTCCGCCGAGAAACAAAGGCAGAAGAGCCGGAGCTCGGCGCGGTGGGGAAGGGCGGTGGGGAGGCGCCCTTGAACGAAGGAGAGAAGCGAAGGTGGTCTTTTTTTTTCATCGGTTTGGTTCAAGAAACCCAGGCCCCTCACGCCCGCCTGGCCGAGCCACGCGTGTCTCACTGTGACTTAAAAAAAAAGTAGAGAGCAGCAGAGGCTTTTCCGTGTCCCCGGGGGAATCTTTTTTTCGCCCAAGCGGACTGTCAGTCTCTTTGCGATTCCTTTTATTTTCTTGGGGAAGTGGAGATCTTAATCTTGGCAGATGCCCCCCCCCCCCAATCCAGGAGACTGTTGATTCCCATGGGCTGCGCGCTTTCCTTCCAAGGGGCACTCGAAATCAAGTGGGATCCGTTCTCTACCCTCGCTCTGCCGGAAGCCCCTCCGCGCCGACCTGGAGAACAGACCCGGTTTCGGAGTCGCTGCCTTGTGCGCCACGCACGTGGCTGGACGGGCCGACTCGCCAACATTTCCCCGCGGCTCCGAAAGGCAGCTGTTTGGGGGAGAAGCGTGGGCCAGGTGGGGCGGCTGAGGCGCCGGCTTTCCCATCGGTGACCCAGTCTTCCCTATCGCGAAGCTTTCCTGAGCGGTGAAGGGGTGGGTGGGGTGGAATAACCAACCGGGAAACCCCAGTTGGACCCTTCCTTGAATATATTCCACTTTTGTCCAAAGTGCAGCTGATATTTATTTTTATGGTTTTTATTTTTAAAAATGACCAAGAAAAATAATAAAATATTTCTGTGTACATACAAGGTAGAGAGCGTCAGCCGATCAACAGCCGCGTCTTTCCCCGAAACATGGAAAAGAAAAAGAAAAATAGAAAGAAAAAAAGAAAAAAAGAAAGTAAGAAAGAGACAGAAAGAAGGAAGAAAAGGAAGGAAGGAAAGAAAAAGAGAAAGAAGGAAAGAAGGAAAGAAAGTAAGTCAGAAAAAAGGAATGAGGGAAAGAAAAAAGAGAAAGAAGGAAGGAAGGAAAGAAAAAAGGAAGGAAGGAGGGAAAGAGAAAGAAAGGAAGAAAGAAGGAAGGAAGGAAAGGAAAAGAAAGAAGAAAGAAAGAAAGAAAGAAAGAAAGAAAGAAAGAAAGAAAGAAAGAAAGAAAGAAAGAAAGAAAACCAGAAGTCAATCCAACCTAGGCTATATAGACCATTTTTTCTTTTGAAGGTGGGAGGAGGTGCCGTG